AAGAGGAAATTTCAGTCTGCTTATGTAAGTTCAGATGTGATACACTTTTCCAGTGACCTTTTGGGGCTTTTTTTGCTGCTAAACTGGCTGGGATCGAAACCAGGATTTTCTGGCCTCTTCTCAGGGCTCGAAGAAAGGGAGCTGAGAGCAAAGTCGAGTCTAAGTAGGCTTGAACTCACCAGGTGAAATTTTCTTGCTGGGAAAGCCATGTAGAGCTTATTTTTCATTACAGCTTTGTCTGGCTTTATTTTACCTAAAATTACAGAGTGTGAAAGGAGAGAGCATAGATACAAGTGTCGTGTTGGTGCACGTCACTTTGCTTGCTCCTTGAACCCCATCAGGAAGGCATTAGCTGGATGGCTTCTCTCCTCCACCTCAACCAAAACATGAAAAATCCCAGTCCTGTCTGCAAATTGCTTTCTGCAGCACAATGAGGACAATATCACAGGTACATCAGAGATATCAGCTGGTGGCTTGGCCACAGCAGGGCTCAGCTGCTGGATATGCATCACCCCCTGCATAACAGCCTTGCAGAGCTTAAAGTAAAGCCCACAGGAGAACATCGGTAGTCACCACAAGCATCAGCCAAGCTCCTTCTTGACCTCATACATAAGCTCCTCTCTCACTATCTTGCAGATCACTACTGTAATACTTACCATTGACAGGACGGCTAAGTGGCTTCTTTTTGATCCTGCAGCATCCCATGTCAACACACACATGTCCCTGCAGCTCCAACACAATGGCGCCAAGCAGGCTTGCAATCCACATGCCTACCAAAAATGATCAAACACCAAACTCTCATTCTTCTCTGCTACATTTCATCTCCAAATCCTCAGGCAGGGCTAAGCACAGGACTTCCCACAGTGTGAGCTTCCAGGGAGGGTGAACACACAGTGGGGATGTATTATGGTTTCCTCAGGAGCTGTTTTTTGAGAGGGATAAGGGATGATGCTCTCCAGCACTCAACAATCCCAAGGGGATACCCCAGCCCTGACACCCTGAGTTCCCATTCTGTCACCTATAGAAAGGCTAAGACATTGTGCAACCCCACAGCAGTGTTCCCACATTCCAGCTTCCCCTTCTGCCACTTCCACACCACTTGAAATGGAAATACCCGGCCATGCAGCTTTGGGAAGCAAAGCAGCGCAAGTGCAGGCAGACCAGGGATTTCTCTTCCCCACACCACCAGTACTTCTCAGCTTGGCACCACATCTGGTGCACATTTTGCTGTTTAAAATTCATGTGCAAAAATAAAGATACTATTTATTACACTGGAATCCTCATCCTGTTTCTCTGGGTACCATCTCAGCCCTCCAAGCCTCTGAAACATTTTGTGGGTTTATTTCCTTTTCCCACACTTGCCTCACTCTTCCAATATTGCTTCATAGCTCTATAGGGGGAAAAGTCATTAAATACACCTACTTCTTGCTTTTATCACTGATCTTATTATCTTGTAATTACCTTACAGAGCCTTAAATTAGTATGAACTGAATTACATCCAATTTCACTGGATTTGTAAATAATCTGATAGTCAAATAGAAAGACGAGGAAAAAATCCTGTCTTTGTCATTTCTGCTCATCCTTTATCCCAAAATATAAGGGAAAAGGGGCTCTTATTCAATCTATCTATGCGAATCCACTTAGGGCTGTGTACAGGATGACTATGCACCTATTAAGGAAGATGAGTATAGTGGAAGGAATCAGTGACTCCTGCATGGCCCTTGCACTGCCAGCAGCACCTGGAGGTGCCAGACTCCAGGCAGATGGGTGAATGTTCCATACACTCTCTGCCCAGGTTTTCCTGCAAGGAAACAAGTTGCTGGTGCTTCACCTGTTTGCAGTGAGGGTGCAAAGACTGAATTATTTTGAATCATTTTCAGTTGGATTTTGTTGGAAGAGTTTTTAATCTCACCATTAATGAATGTGGGAGACAGGGGCATGTTTGCAGCAGGATCTTTCAGGAGGGCTCAGCTCCCAACGCTGGGAGATCTCAACTACATGCCATGCTGCAGGACAGCCTTCCATGGGCAGGTAAGGGCTGGGAATTCATGCTGTGCTCCTCAATAACTCAGATTTCCATGAGAGCCCTTTACTATTACTCTCCAGGGCTCCCTTGCCCTGGGAAAGCTTCTTCCAAATGAGGCAATACCACATAGTCAGACTCGTTTGCGCAGGTGAAGACACACCAGATGGGGCGAGTGCTGACATGAATGGGATGAATTAGCCGGAGAGGACAAGTTTCAGCACAGGAGGAGCTGACAGAGCGACACAGACTAGGGGACAGCAGCCCCCCTGCAGCCAGGCAGGGACAGCCAAGGGACACAGGAGGGCCACCCTATTCCCCGATGATGGCTGAACTCCTGAGCTTCCAGCTGCAAAATCTGCTCAAGGCAGGACAATTCTTGAAAAGCTGCAGATAGAACCACCGGCCCATCTGATACAAATAACTTATTGGTTTTGCTGCCTTGTTTTGTTATGACTTACTACAGAAACTGGAAGCTCTGCGTGGCTGAAAATTAATCTCTTTTTTTTTTTTGTGCCTTTTCCCTTTGAGTGAAATGCTGCTAAACCATTCCTCACATGAATACACACTTTGTTCTTCTCCTTCTCCTCCTCCTTTTTCTTCTTCTTCTTCTCCTTCTCCTCCCTCTTCTTCCTCTCTTCAATTTTTACATCCTAAAATAGCAAATTCCAGCTGACTGCTTTCAAGGCAGCAAGGCACTTGCAAGATTGTGGGAGCATTGCTCAAAGCAGCAGAGAAGCCAACTAAGCTGCCAGGAAACAATATTAAAAAAAGCAGGGGGGTGGATCTCGTCTGTCATAAATCAAAGCCCTGCAGTTTGTGCAGAGCTAAAACTGCACACTCTCCTGTGCTCCACCCTGGCAAAACTATTTCACTTGGTGTTAAATGCCCTGCTAGTGGGAGCTGAGGCCTGGGATTTGTGCTGGGATTTGGGAGGAAGGCAGCAGACCTGGCTGCTCCAGTTCACAGGAGCAAAGCAAACCTGGGTGCTGAGCCCCAGCTACCTTTCTTGAGTTTTTCCAAAGGCTGGCACAAGCACAATCCAGTGGGGACCTGCTGGATGCACAACCCAGTTAGAGACTGGTTTAGTCCCCTCTTGTTCCTGGAGGTCCTGCTCGACCTACCTGCATTTCCCTGTGCCACTGCTGGGGGTCTTGCGTGATGCTAATGCAGCGCCCAGGATGGTTCCTTTGGGAAAGGAACAGCACAGCTCTCCTGATGCATGGCTAGATGCATGCTGTGATGCTCCAGCTCATGCTGAGGCTCCCATCATCCCCAGCCCTTCTCCATCTCAGTGCTGAGAGGGGCAGAAGCTGATGTGGGGATTGGGGATGGGATCTGGCTGCTCCCCAGGATGCAGAGGTGTGTGCTGGAGCGTGGGGAACCTCTTCACTGTACACCTGACAGGGATGCAGCCACACTACACAATGCATGGGGCAAGTCCAGGTGTGCTGCTAGCTGCCCAGTGAATTCTTGAGCACTGTGTCAACCACTGATGGCAAACAGGCCTGCTCAAAGCACACAGGTAGGAAACCTCCCTCTGTAGGAGCAGATTAACAACTAGGTGAGGAAGAAGGAGGCAGACTTCTCCAGGGGTAGACTTTCAGGGAGAGATACAGGAACGTAACTGCACCTCCAAGCCTGTTCCACCCTGCCAGTGACTAGTGGGACACACTGCATGCTGCTTGGTCCTTCGGAAGTCCCAGTGTGTGTGGATACCTGCTTATCATCTGCACCAGCACTATGGACCTTACCTGTGAACAAGCCCAGCCTGCACAGGCTACAGAAATTAGTCCTATGGCCCTAGCCTGTGTTGCATCTGGAAGGTGATTTAGCAGAGATGCTCAGGGTTTTTACTTTACAGGATCCTTCCCCATATTCAGCACTAAAAGCAAGGCCAGGAGAGGTCACAAACTGATCCCACTCTTGTCTGCACCTTGGAACAGCAATTCCCAGCCCCATGGGTGCTCCTCAGCTCATTCTGACCTGGCCCTACTGCTCTCTACCTGAGTGAACGGCTGATCAGAGAGCAAACACCTGCTGGGTTTGACACCACTGGAGCCAGGATGGGAGCAGCCACTTGTGCATAGGCTTCTGGGCTCAGCTATTCCTTGTCCTACATTTATCTGCCTCTAACACTTGACAGCTCTGTTGCCTCTGCACCCCAAGCAGCTGAAGCAGCTCTGCAGGTACTGTACGTCAGTTTCCCCATCTGCACTTAGGATGGCTCTGGCCATGGCCTCAGCGATTTGGTTCCCTGTGGTCAGAGGCCTGGGTAACATGTCCTTGTTCCTGCTGGGAGGACTAGTTGTGGCATTAGCTAGACACACCTGGGCCCATCCCAAACTGGGGAGAGGGACTTCTGTCAAAGGGCCTGCAGGGACAGGCCAAGGGGAATGGCTTTAACCTGCCCGAGGGGAGACTGAGCTGAGCTCTTAGGCAGAAGCTCTTCCCTGTGAGGGTGCTGAGCCGCTGGCACAGGGTGCCCAGAGAAGCTGTGGCTGCCCCATCCCTGGCAGCGCTCAAGGCCAGGTTGGACACAGGGGCTTGGAGCAAGCTGCTCTAGTGGAAGGGGTCCCTGCCCGTTGCAAGGGCTGGAGCTGGAGGAGCTTTAAGGTCCCTTTCAACCTAAGCTAGTCTATGATTCCAAGGTTCTATGATATTGGAGACTCGGATTCACGTCCCTGCTCTAAATCAAGCCAAACAGGAACTTCAGCCCAGGCCTTTTCCGGCCGGGTGAGCTTCCTGGCGGATGGCTGCTTTCCCCGGGCTCTCTCCTCTTTTCCCGAAGTGCTTTCCAAGGCGCTGGCACGATCCCAGCGCCGGGTAGGAGCGGCCGTACCGGTGCGCCAGACGCCTCGGACCCCTTCGCCCGGTCCCCAGCCCTGCACGGTTCCAGCGGTCCCCGGCGGGGCTGCGGCCATCCCGGGGGATACGGGCGGAGCCGGGACACCCCCCGGGCCCGGACACAAAGGCCGGGGGCTGCGGCGGCGCGGGCGTGGGCCTCCAGGCTCCTCCTCTGCCGCGCCGGGGATGCTGCTGCTGCCGGGCGGGCATCGGGAGCCACGCGGAGCGCCGCGCAGCCGCGGAGAGGAGGAGGAGGAAGCAGCAAACACCCGAGGTGGGAGAAGCCCCGCGGCTGCGGACGGAGGGGATGCGGGAAATGGGGGGGGATAAGCCCCGGGAGTCCGTCCTCCGGGCAGAGAGGGGGGACGCGAGTGCGCTGCGCGGCCGGGATCCCCAGCCTGCGACGGCAGCGCGTCGGTTTGGGGTTAAACGCGCTCCGGTTTAACCCCAAATCCCGGGTTGGGATGCTCAGTGCGGCAGCGGCCCGACGCCGCGGTGGCAGAGTGCGGGGATTGGGGGTAACATATCACAGCTGGCCGGAGCAGCGGGTTAAACGGAGCGCATCCCTCTGCCAGGTCGGAGCCTCCTGCGGCTCCCACGGGGCTCAGCTCCGTCTCTTCACTTCCCTCGGAAGTCTGGAAAACAGCTTTCCAAGACAAGGAGAAAATTTTGCCTGTTCGGCAGCTTGGTTCAGGCTGCTGAGGTTACACAGCCCCCAAACTCTCTGGGAAGAGAAAGAGCAAGCAGATGCCTTTGGTTTGTTGTCTTCAGATTGAGCCACCCTCGGGAGAAGGGACTGCCTGCCCACCGTGGAAATTGCTATTTGCTGGTAGCTCCTGTGTGCGTGGGGTAAAAGGGACAATGGGGAGTGGAAGGGAGTTTGCAAGCGCAGAGGCTGGGGCTTGCGTGGGCATCAAATACTTCTGGGTGCAAATACTGGTTGTATCTGGATGCGGGTTTCGCTGCGTGTTAGTGCACAGCCCTGTATGGCTGGAAAAGGTTGAGCCATCCTTTGGGTGCCTGCAGTCATGGCCAGGCAGGTCTGTCAAGGCTTGGAGTGTGCATGTCCAGGAGGTCACTGCTGACCAGAGGAACACTGTTGGGTGCTCTGGTCCTGGAAAGCCAGGGATTAACCTCTGCCTTTAGGAGCAGTGCTGGAGGGGGCTGGGGCAGTAGCCACCTCTGGATTACTTCTCACTCTGCTGACAATCGCTGCTAGATCCACACAGCCTGGCAGCTGCCAGTTCCAGTGGGAATGAGCATGGAGCCAGGGCCCAAGCTCACTGCCCGATGCTCCCTTCTGTGCTCAGCCAGCTGAGCCACAGGTTCAGGTTTCCCAGTGGTGTAGCAGGAGGGTTCCACATGCAGAGGTTGGCTCAGGATTGTGCGAGAGCCCTAACAGCTCCCATTTAGACCCCCCCAGCATCAGTGTGCCCACATACCTCAAACTCAGCTGCAGTGTGGTACCGCAGCATCCCTGCCACAAAACCCTTTCTCCCCAGGGAGCTTGCATTTGGTTTCCTGTTGTCCCCTTTTGCTAACACCCCCCTGGCCCCTTCCAGCACTGCCAGGCCCCAGACACCCCTCAGCCATGGCTACCCCAGCAGAGCTGCACTGAGGAGGGGGTTTTCCCTTTCTCTCCTGTGTTCACAAGTAAGCTGAGGCCTGTGACCTCATTACACATGTGACTCAGTGCTCACCACAGAGGGACCAACACCTGACCCATTTTCCCAAGCAAGCTTGTGTTTCCACAGTGATGGCTGTGGTTGTCCAAATTCCTCCTGAGAGCTTGTTTTCCTCACTGAAGATATGTGGAACATGATCAGGTAGGAAAACAGTCCTTGTTAGTCTCCACTTTCTGTCTTCCTGATACCATCACTCCAGGCACCGATGAACTTCCCTTTGAAATCATTGCTTGGCCCCAGCCTCCCACACCAGCCATGCACTGTCACAAACAATCTCCAGAGACCCTCTGCATCACATCAGCCTACTCAGCTCACACCTACAAACACAGCCAGGCTTTTCTAAGGGTCTGTAGACACCACCCCCTGTCCCCCTCCGTTAGCCATTCTGCAGCATCACCTGTACAATTAATCAAAAGGGCCATTAATCAGTGGGACAAAGAACTGTAAGTACAAGATCAGCTGTGGGGGCAATTAATGGCAGCTGCAGAAGCACAATCGCTTGTTACAGGAGATTCTCTTGACTCCCTGCTAGGCCTCCAGCCACAGCCCTGTGGCTCACACATGCTTGAGGGGCAGCTCCCGCACCCTCAGAGCCCCTGGCTGCTCTGGTGTCCCTCCTGCTCCCTGCTGACCCCCTCCTCTTGGCACCACAGGGTACTAAATTGGTTTTGAGTCATTGTTTCCCACCCACCCCTTAGTCACTTCTTCCCTTCCAGGCAGTGCTGCGGAGTGGTGGGAGGCAAATGAATGAGAAATTCAGGCAGGAAAATGAGATTTCAGAAAAAGCCAGCTCTGCTGTGAGCCACCGAGACAGGCATTGAGACTTCCAGGGCAGGTTTCCTGACTGAGGGTGCATGGAACAGACCCTCACCCCAGGCTTGGGCAGAGGGACCACGGCACTGGAGAAGGGGGGAAGTCAAGCTCATGCAGATGCTCTGCTGCAGAGCAGGACAGGGCAGAGACAGGGATGCATTCCCAGCAAGTTGCTGCTCTCGCATTCCTTGCCTCTTGCAGTTCTAGCTCTGATGATATCCCTTTCCCTAAATCACAGTTTTTCTCCCTCTTTGAAAGCCTCTGTTTTGCTGCGGGCAGGTACAGTCATGCTCAGCACAAGCTTAGGTGAGGCATCTGCGGCATGCAGAGGTGGGCAGCCGCAGAGCAGCTGCTCTTGGTGTGATCCAGGTGGGTGCTGGATCACATACCTGCTTTCCTTGAGACCATTCAAAATCCTGTCCCCATCTCCAACAGCAGTGAGCTCACTCACTGGGACTCTCAGTCACCCACAGACATCCCAGCAGAGCTCAGAGCCTGCAGTGCAAGGTGCTGCGTGGACAAGTGCGAAAAGATAGTGTCACTGCAGCCATTACAGGAAACGGGTGCTATAATTGCTTCTCAAACAACACAGGCTGGCAGAGACAGGACCGTGTCCCTGTACTGCTTGAGAATGGAGCCACACAACCTGCCCATGCCCTGCACCATAAGGAACAGGTTCTTAATCCTCCAGTACTTAGAAAAAGCAATGATGGGAAACCTGCTGGGTTTTCCCCCCCCACCCCTGTCTCTCTAACCACTGACTTGCATAGGTAGTTATAAATATTTCTCTTGAGATGTCTTAAAAATCCCTCCTCTCTCCCCCTCCAGTTTATTTGATGTTATGTGTTTACCATCTGCCCTTGGGTTTGCTGTTGTGGGTTTTCCAGACCTGCAGAGAAAGCTTCCCTGTGGAAGGGGCAAGATACAGGGAAGAGGCACGGAGCACTCATGGAGAGCAGTGTGAAGGCGTGCTGCAGGACCTAAGTGGATTGTTGCCATTAGAGATTAGTTAAAAATAGCAGGAAATGTACAAAGATTTGGCACAAAGAATCGTAGAATCATAGAATAGTTAGGGTCGGAAGGGACCTGAAGATCATTCAGTTCCAACCCCCCTGCCATGGGCAGGGACACCTCACACTAAATCATCTCACCCAAGGCTCTGTCCAGCCCAGCCTTGAACACTGCCAGGGATGGCGCATTCACAGCTTCCTTGGGCAACACATTCCAGTGCCTCACTACCCTCACAGTAAAGAGCTTCCTCCTTATATCCAGTCTAAACTTCTGTTTAAGTTTGAACCCGTTACCCCTTGTCCTATCACTACAGTCCCTAATGAAGAGTCCCTCCCCAGCATCCCTATAGGCCCCCTTCAGATACTGGAAGGCTGCTATGAGTTCTCCATGCAGCCTTCTCTTTTCCAGGCTGAACAGCCCCAACTTTCTCAGCCTGTCTTCATACAGGAGGTGCTTCAGTCCCTGATCATCCTCGTGGCCCTCCTCTGGACTTGTTCCAACAGTTCCATGTCCTTTTTATGCTGAGGACACCAGAACTGCACACAATACTCCAAGTGAGGTCTCACAAGAGCAGAGTAGAGCGGCAGGATCACCTCCTTTGAACTGCTGGTCACGGTTCTTTTGATGCAGCCCAGGATACGGTTGGCTTGAGTTTCCAAACATGATGGACAGTGGTTTAGCAACTTCATTTGCCATCTCCTTCAGGACTCGTGGATGGATTTCATCAGGTTCCATGGAATTGTGCACATTCAGGTTCTTAAGATGGTCTGAAACCTGATCCTCTCGTACAGTGGGCTTAAGGTCTGCATTCCCTGCATCTGCCTTCCAAGACTTGGGTAGTGTGGTCTCAGCATTTGCCAGTGAAGACTGAGGCAAAGAAGTCATTAAGAACCTCAGCCTTCTTCAAATCTAGGGTAGCCAGTTCTCCTGATAGCTTCTGGAGGGGGCCTACATTGTCCCTAGTCTGTCTTTTATTCACTATGTACCTATAGAATCCCTTCCTGTTATCTTTCACAGCCCTAGCCAAGTTTAATTCTAACTGGGCGTTAGCTTTCCTCACTTGGTCCCTAGTTTCCCAGACAACATCCCTGTGTTCTTCCCAGGCCGCCTGTCCTTGCTTCCACCTTTTATAAGACTCTTCGTTCCCTCTAAGTTTCCTCTGCAGCTCCTTATCCATCCATGGAGGTCTCCTGGCCCTCCTGCTGCACTTCCTTCTAGTTAGGACACAACACTCCTGAGCTTGCAGTAGATGATCCTTGAGTATCAACCAACAGTCTTGCCCCCCCCCCCCCCCCCCGCCCTCTAGGGGTTTTGTGCTTGCTCACTTAATTAAAAGCTCCCAAATGAGCAGGAAAGCTTGATAAATTTTTTCTAGGAAGTCCTGAATGTGCACACAGGGCCACTATATGGTTTGGAGAGCAGAATCTGGGGGAAAGGGACATCCTGTTGCATGAGCAGAGCTAGGATCTCTCCAGATCTGCAGGAGCAAATGCCAACCTTGCATTGCTTTGCAACCAGGTCCTTTCAAGAGCAGCATTCTGGTTCAGACCTTCCTCCTCCTCACACACAGAAGTTTTTCTCCTGAGCTAAAAGAAGATCTCCGTTTGTCTCCTCAGCAGCGTAAGGCCTCTGTGAAAGCTGGCTCCTTCCAGCAGAGGGTAGCAATGAAGAGTTTTATTCATTGTTTAAAAAGCCTCATCTCCTGAGCCTCTGATTTTTGGAGCACTGAGCATCTCTTCCCATGGGACACTGGCAGTGCACAGGT